TGGGGTGTATTTTTGGAAGTTCTTACACTAGGTCTTCATTCTTAAATTCCCACTGATTTTAATACCTGTGATCAGGTCTTTTGGCTTTCACATCCTTTATGCTGCAGCTGGGATATTATGTCTGGCTCAGAATTTTCAGGTAATCAAAATAGCCCATGCAATTCAGAGCATGAGAAGCCCCTTCCTAGGCCACCACCTTCATCTCCTTGGGGACATTTCAATGCTCTTTAAAACCACTGATCTAAATCTAACCGTTCCACCTGTCCAAAGCAGTTGAAGAACCCAAAAGTTTGCAAGGAGCGTTTGTCACTGTGGCTGTCACATCTCGTATATTATCTCTCCCATGAAAACCCATGGAAAAAAGTTCATTTCCCCTCGTTCCCGTGCTGTAGTAGGTGTGCCCACCCAAACTGACCACGTCAGAAATCAGTTTATTCCCTGTTTCAATCATGAGTTTCAGCGAGAGGGAGGGCAGGAAGCCTCCCTGGACGCACGTTTCCTGCATTGACTCTATTCTCTTTGGGGACTGGGACAGGCAGCACCCTCCTGCTCTCATTGTACCCACGTGAAAATGCAGGAACCACCACCCTGGGTTGGAACAAGGGGCTGTCTCACCCAATATCCTGCTGCTGACAGCAGTGGATCCTCAGGGAAATGTAAACGCATCAGGGCTATACGGAGGGATCCTTCCCTGTCTGTATCCACCCAGCTTTAGCAGGCAGCAGTTAAGGAAGTTCCTGCTCTGGAGGATGCATTCAGCACTTTGTTGTTGTTAACCCCAGATATGTGGATCCTCCACGCTGCTTCTTCCCAGATAAAGTCTGGCCATCAAAAGTCTGCTGACTAATACCAGCTTCCTCCAGGGGCAGGTAAATCAATATATTCCAGGCCACATGCTGGGCCCTCTTGAATTGTCCTGGCTCCTCTGGGTCATATCCATTTATCACAGCCAGGGATTTGCGCTGCCATGCCTCATTTTTAGGAATACACCTTGCCACTCTTTGTCTTCACTCTGTGAGTGAGTGTCCCAGGCAGGGGCTGGTTAAGCCTGCTGTCGTTCACAAGCTGCAGGAACACAAAAAGAGCCTTCCTCTGGTGAAACTTGTTTTAGCCCAATCAATATTAGGACCCTTTTTCAGGAACGGTGGTATTTATAGTCTAAATTTGAAGACTAGACAAGCTGGTCGATGGGATTTTGGTCTTGAAAGCAATGGTAATGAAAACTGGGTAACAATGGCACTATGTTTTTTTTTTAAATTGATTTTTTTTTCTTTAACAAGATCCACATCTCTGCACTGAATTCCTGGCAGACTGGAGCCAGTCATATTCTTGATTCCAGTCCAGCATTTAAAGGCTCTCTTTCCTCATGTAACATCCTCAGCCCTTTAAGCACTTCACTTTCTCTCCTGACCCTCCCTGCTCTGTCTGCTGGACCGAAGGTGACACAGCTCATCATCTTCCTCCCCATCAGTAAGGGTTTGTTAGGGAGTTTTGTTCTCTGTGTGTTAGGTTTGTCAGGGAGTAACAAACTCCCCTAAAAACTTCTAGGACTCAGGCTAACACCTTTCCTAACTGCTTTGCCAAAAGAGCTCCAGTGCCTGCTAGTCTGCCGTGCACTGCCTTCTCTCCAAAACACTCTAAAAATTCACTCAAGGGAGGAAAAAAAATCCTCTTATGATGCTGTGATATCACAGTGGAGACCTCAGACAGTAATGCCAAGAAGCCTTTATTAATAATAAAAAAGTAGTTCTATTTGAAAGAGCAACTAACCAGCCACCTTAACATCAGTGGAAGACGGGAGACTAAATACCTCTAGGCCGCCCGCTGAGGGATGCCCTGGGGCTGGGGTGAGCAGCAGGGAGCCAGACCTGCAGGTCCCACATCTCCACCTTCCCGTGTTTCCAGGCTAAGAGGACGGGGTTAAGCAGCAGTTTCTGGAGAGGAACATGCCTGAGATGAGCAAACCTCTGCGGTGTCACCTCCTGTTTGACTTTGGAAGATGCATGCGGTTCCAGAACCATCCAAAAGCAGCCCTGTATGTAAGTATGTGTTTCTCCTACCTGAAATGTCCTAAAAAGTGTATGTGATTAGCAGCTGGGAAAATAAACACAGCACCACACCTTCTCAAAATGATGCTGTCAAAATACTTAGTAATACATTTATTTTGTTAAAATAAACTATGTACAATAGATGACATTAATGTGCAGTTACAATCTACAATAATTACATGTTTAAGAGAGGATAAGCAAAAGAGTACAGAATCACGTGCTGTAAATAGGAAACTAATACTGTTTACATTATTTTTAAACTATCCAAAACATAATTTTTGGTAAACTGAATTTCCTTGGTTTGAAATTTTATTGCTTTGACACGAATTTTCAAGATTTGGTTAAGCTGAAAAAAGACGTCACTCGAAAGTCAGAGGTAATGTTTTAGTTCTTACCCTTTGGTTTTACCAACCCCATACTCCAGCGATATTGCACACAGCAGCTTTTAAGAGAGAAAAATTCTGTTGTTCACCTCAAGTCAATTACTCTTTTTCGTAACATGACTGATGATGTGTTAAGTCCTGATTTGTGCTGAGGTTGTTAC